GACCACTGTAAACCAACAAATAAAGTAAGGAAAATTTTAAATCAAAGGGATAGTTTGATCACCCAAAAACTGAAATTCAGTTATCATTTATGCACACTCATGTTGTTCTAAATCTGTATAACTTTATTTCTACCAGAGAACAAAAAAAAAACACTAGAGAAAAAGACATAAAAATATCGAACAGTTTTTTTCCCCCCAATAAAATAAATTAATTCTTGCAAATATATTATTTTGATATCCAGGAAAATAAATGCTTGATATGAATTTTCATTTTTGGGTAAGCTATCACATCAAAAACTATGAGGTGAAGTGTGCAATATCTGTGCCACTGGCGACCAAAATTTTATTGCAATTATATTTTCTAGTTTTCTGAACAAGAAATTGTCATGCCTAAAAGCAGTTCAGTGTTTTGACAGCCATGTACTCCCATCGTTTACCCATTAGTTTATATTTGTCTCTATCATGGGTGCTTCTCAAACAGAAGGCTGCATCCTACCAGTGGTGGCTCGTGGGTTTTAAAATAGAGGATGCACACTAATTGTATTGGTCTGGGATCCCTGCCGATTATTATTATTATTTGCTTAACCACTTTAAAATGGCTTTTTGGTTGCTTTTAGTCAGAAAACGTAAAGAAAACAACACACATACTGCAAGATAATATAACTTCACTTACCTGGCCAATCACTAGAAGCAAACATCCATCCCTTCTTAAAAGTCTGTGTTAAAAGAGCCGACTGCTGTAATGTTCGCCTATATCTAGCTTAGGTGTGTTCTCCCTTTATTTAAAATTTGTATGTATACTGTTTGAATGACAGCTTGGTAAATCTGTTGGCGATCAAATATTCAATATCGCTACTCATAAATACTTGGTACATTATCAGCGCAGCGGGAGACGTTCAAACTAATATCACGTAATTTACGTCTCTATGATGATTGATTGATATATCAGAAGGGAGGCTAGCCTCCCCTACGAGGTTTCTTTTCTCAACACTCCTCAGCGCTGAAAGTGAACACTCGATGGTGATTGGCTAATTTTTTTTACCAACGG